GTCTGCACAGAGCCATCGGCAGCCCTGGCACTGTTAGCTTTTGGAGGTTCAATTATACGGAGAGGTATTGTGTTATCTCCCAAAATATCTCTAACAGGCCGTACAATAGGGGGGCTGGACGAATCTAGATCTCTTGGTCGTTCAGGTGATTTAGCATCCAGCTTAGAATCTCCATCGGATATTCTGCGATCATCATTTCGCCTCCCATTTCCAAATCTATCTTCTCGACGCCAATCATTCACAATTTCAGGGCGACCAGGACTTTTCTTATAATCATTATACTGCCGGGCTTCTAGATCATATCCGGGACTTCTTTGCCCATCATAACTTCTTCCAGCAGGACTAGACCTTTCACTGTAACGACGTTCATATGTATCATCATATGGTGGGCTTCGAGAGCCTCCCTGATATGAATCCAGTCTTCTGTTTTCATAAGAGTCTTCCTTCTCACCCTGTATGACATGCAATTTACAACTTAAACCCAGAGACATTTGAAACACTTTCATCATGGTATAAGTATACACTAAACCAGTGTGTTGATTTTAGGTCTATATGGTAGCACCTTGTATTCAAAATAATGTATCTTGGGATAAAGGATAGCTCACCATTTTCGCCCTTGGAGGCTTGTCCAAGTTTCTCTCACCAGTATATCTTCTATCCACATACACATGCTTAATAAAGTCTCGAAGTCTCTCAACATTACTGGAAGCAAACATTTGAATCAGAACCGTAGTCATTACTATCAAAGTAAAACAGAATAAAATGAGTATTAACCTGCTGTCAGGAAAGGAATTACGTTGCGGGTCCAATTCTTTATGATAAATTTCCTTTGCACGCTGTAATTGGGAAGCAGAGACGAGCCCGAGATAAATTGAGAAGATTAGCAGCAGACAAAAAGAAAATCACACATATTTCTAAGAACTCAGAAGAAACACATACGAATACCTGATTTCCCCCTTCTTGAAGGGCATTAACTTCTTGTGAAGTAAATTTGGCCATTGATACTGATTTTACTCGGTGCGTGAACTCCCGACTGGAAACATTTTCATGTAATTAATACAATGCAAGCAAACCAACAAGTAGTGTGCATGAAACACTAAAAGTGAATATTTGAAAAATAATTAAATAAATACCCCTGCATCGCCCTCCCCCTCTTCTGTTTCTACACATAGAAAGAAAAGGAATAACTCTTAACAAATAATGCAGCACAGCACATCATGACTTACTGTATTCCACTGCAGTTTGTGCAAACAAATGTCCAGAAATTCGTGCAAACATATTGTGGCCCCTGCTTGGTAGAAAATAACATTAAAAATGAACCTGAGCACAAAACATAAGTATACGCACATGCACTCTTTGAACTCAAAACCCTAATATTAGTATCATCATGACCAATGTATTGCTCCCACTCTGCAATGCAAGAACACCTTTACAAAAATGGTTAACAAGAAGCAACAAAACTTTGAGAAATAAATATGCACTACAGTTCTTAATTTGTTTCTAAAGTTTCCGCGCTTCATATATATGGTCACTTTATCTGATCTGCATTCTTGTACAAGAACACAAGATACATTGTTTTGGTAGATCCATTTCTAGAATCAGCCCTATCAGTGCAGTAAAGAAGTCCTAAATTAGAATTGCATGAAGGCGGATTATGATTCCTCTATCTGGAAAATGCTAATATCACACCTCAAGTTACATATCAATAGCTTGACATGACATACAAACAATATAATCATCAAATGTACAAGTGGCCTATGAAACAATGCACCCAACAATAATGGACAAGAATGCGAGGAATTGTGTACCAGACTGTTGCAGTTAATGCATCTGCGATTCTCGGGAAGTTTAAGAAGGCTACGAATAATTCGTTCATTTTTCTCGTCCTCCTTCACTCGACTAGCCATTCAGACTTCCTGTTCATTATAAGCCACAGTTACTACCAAAAACATGAATTTGAAGAGGACGCAATGATGAATGATAGCTTAGCAACTAGCATTTTACCAAATTACAACGAAATCACTAATTCCCCAATTCATTGCCTAGAAGCCTAGTTTGATAACACGGATTTTTAAGTTTTACAATCATTTCAATACCAGAAAACAGTGAACTTACATAAACTAAACCAAATCGATAAACACATCCAAGCGAAAGCTTCGATAACTCGAGGTCCAAGAACAAAGAACTGAGTGCAAATTTTCTTTTCTTAGCTAACAGTTTCTAAGCAACCAAACGGACCACACTAGATACTAACGTACTGCAGCGGATCTGAAAAATCAGAGTCGCCGACGTGCACTAAAACAAGTAAAACCAATTAGAGTCCATACAGAACCTTGAGAAATAGATAGAACTGACCTCAATTTGCTGCAGACGACGAAGCTGTTCTACTTCTGCAGCCCTCTAGCTGAAGACGACGTCGTCGAAGAGATCCAAACGCTATGGCACTTTGAGTATATCTATGAAACTCGCAGAGAGAGAGGCAGCAGATCTTTGAAGGGTGTGTAGGCGATGGCTGTTGTACAGCTCAGAGCTTCACCAAATGGTGCTTTTGCTTCCTATAAAATGTTAGAGATAGAAAGAGGAGGAGAGAGAGAGTGAACGAATGAGGAATTGGGATATTTTACGGTGTTATCGGACACACGGGGCCTTACCCTGTCCCTATGGTCCTGCCGTTTCCTATATTGACGGGAGATTTTGTTCAACTTTAGAAGAACGACAGTCCATGGTCATACAAGGCGACTCAATGTTTAACGGTCAATTTACCCTCGCAATTTTTATTAATCAATTACATTTTTTGGGGTTTAATCATGAGCTGTTGATAACTTTTCTTTTTTATTCACAAACTTTGTACCACAAATTCTTCAACCATAGGTTTTTTTGTGTGTCAATGTTGAGCTATCTTTTTATTTTTTGATAAAATGATATCTCATTATAAAAGAATCGATATTATGTTTATCCAAGTCGTGTCTTTGAGAGTTTTTCAGCTTTTTGTGAGAAAGTCGCTAGAGTAAAGCCAAGTGACATTAGTTTGTTACTAGATTCGAACTCTTAGGGTCGCGATTGGAGGAGTATCATAGCCGTGATAATATTTTATACCCCATTAATAAGGGGTGTACGATAGGCGTGATTATATATTTTGTGCCCGATTAAAATCTATATTGGGTCTTTATTTGAGTTTAATTATGGGTTTAAGTGATTAGTTATCTGTGTGGCTATTGTAATTCAGCCTTTTGGCTTCTATCAATAATATTTCTATCGTTTGACAAAGAAAAAAAACTCAAAATACATGTTTTTGTCAACTAACCTAACCTATATTTGCATTAATGTAAATCTATCAGTGAAAAATAAATATGTAATTCAACAACTGAAACTGAGGCACACATATTTAAAATTACAAAACGCGGATTTGTAATTTTTGTTTTTTAATACAAAATTATCATTGATGTGTTAGTTGTAGAACAATTAATACTATTTTCCATTATTCTGATTCTCTTTATTTTCCGAAATTGTGTGGATTCATTTCCATGTATGGTTGTTGTGCTGTTCTGGTTCTGGATTTGTTCAGTCCGTAATTCAGTATTTAAGCAAACTTTGCGGGTGCCACTGATACATGCACATTATTGCATATATTCTCTCATTTACGCATGCATATCATACCAACCTTAGTTGGTCCATAAAAATTAAAATTAAAATTTGTTTAGCTGGCATACCAAAGTGCTTTAAAGAAAATAAAAAAGAAAAACAATCGTATCCGTTTGTTTCCTTCTTTTTTTTCCTCACTTGGATACAAGTGAATTATGGGAGTCAACTCCCTTCTAAAAAAATAGTATTGAGGACGAAGAAAGTCTAAAGTCAATGTTAGTTTGAGATGATAGTTGCAACTTGCAAGCTAGATAAGATGGACCCAATGTATTGAGTTGAATATTTGTACATGTGGGCTTAGCATCTTCATAGTTGGGTGGGATTTTAAAAGCATGAAATGAATCCTAGGCCAAGGTTAATTAACCTTATCATAATGGTAAAATTATAGTTTACCTATCTTCTCAATATTATAGGATATGTCTCAAGTTCGAATTCTCATCTCTCACTCATAAAAAAAAAACTTCATACAAAACCGCCATATATACACATATATATATCAAAACGACAACTACATTGTATTTTTTTATTTATATCATTCTTCTTTTTATTAATTATAAGACAATGTTAACTTTCTTAAAAAGGAAAATGTTATCGGCACTTGAAAATAGTCATTATGCATGCACTCCTATTTAATTTAAAAAAGAAAAAAAGAAAAAAACGAAGTGTATGATAACTATTTGACCCAACTGTATAGCCCATTAAATCTTTGGGTTACGGGTTCCTCCGTATTTTTTGAGTTCAGAGTCCCGCGTTTGGGCATGGAAACGGCTGCGAAATTGGAATTTGCTTCCCATTTGGCGCGGTCGCCAATGCTGTTGATCTGTATTTAATGAAGCAAAAGCAGAACCCACGCTGCCAAAGCCCACTGCTCCTTGATACCTACAAGCATAACGATTATGTAAGGGAAACCACTATCAACAGATCACTTCATCTAAATGCATAAATTACTCTGTACACATGCATAATTTTTTTGTTTGGGGTAAAGGACAGAACACATGCAGAATTTATTTATCAGAAATGCAAGAATATTTGAAGTTCCAATCGATGTTGTAACACCCGCATTGGTGAAACCATGGGGGACAGCCAGTAAAAAGGAAAACAAAAATGATCAGTTACAAAACTCCAGGATGAGGATTGAACTTGGAACCTGCCCTCTGAAAGAGAAGTGTAGCTACCTAGCTATAACCACACCATGTGACGGCCAGTAAAATTAACCCCAATTCTATCATACAATATAGAAGAACCTTAAGGAAATTAACTGGAGGGCTTTACTTGTCATGACGCTATGCCAATAGCCCCTAACTTACATCCAATCTAGGGTACAAAAGAAAAACTGAAGAAAAAATAAGAATACTCACAGAATTTACTCGCGTCTAATGTTTCCAATGTTTATTGAATATATAGTAAGAAAATATTCAAAAGAAAAAACCCAATATTTATGGTTGCCCGGAAGGTGGCATGCTACTCGGAACTTGTTGCACCACGTAGGCTCCTGAGATTATCAAACCACAATTCAGCACTCATTGCCAACATAAGGGAGAATGACAAAGTATTTTTCATTATTTACTAGAAGAAACAAATAGGAAACCAGCATGATCTTACTTGGAGGCATTCGTGATGCAAATTGTGGTGCTTGGGAAGGCACTGCTGAAGAATATGATGATAACATCATCTTACTTGGAGGCATTCGTGATGCATGTTGTGGTGCTTGGGAAGGCACTGCTGAAGAACATGATGATAACATCATCTTACTTGGAGGCATTCGCGATGCATGTTGTGGTGCTTGGGAAGGCACTAGTGATGCATATTGTGGTGCTTGGGAAGGCACTGCTGAAGAATATGATGATAACTGGGGAGGCACTAGTGATGCATATTGTGGTGCTTGGGAAGGCACTGCTGAAGAATATGATGATAACTGGGGAGGCACTAGTGATGCATATTGTGGTGCTTGGGGAGGCACTGTTGAAGAATATGATGATGACTGGAGCGGCATCCAAGCTGATGAGGGAGTATTGAGGCGGGAAGTGCGCACTAAACCTGGTCGGGACAGAGGCTGGAAGTTTGGTAGGGCAGCTTGAAAGGATGCCGCAGAAGGAAACTGCATTACAGATAAAACACATCAAAGAAACTTCAAATATATTTGTGCATCAAATGAGGAGTTATCAAGAACACGTAGAGTTAAGAAAAAAAAATTGCTTTGATACTGATTTCAGCTAACAAAGCAAGTTTTATGGTGAGTTATTGATCTGAGAAAACTAAGTCAAATTTATCAGGCAACCATTGAACCCAAAAACTTAAGCCGTTAGGAACGAACCAACAATGTATACCAAGCTAACACCATCCCTCAACATGTAGTCGCATCCTGCACATATAGAGCCGGACAGATACACACAAAGAGGAATACACTGGTACAGTCCGACTCTATCCTTGAAAACTGACAAATAAGAGTGGCAAATGAGGATTGAAGATTTCAAACTCATGACCTCTTACAACCAAAGCTCTAATGCCATGTTAGACGACCGCAAATTAGGGTAAACTAATTGAAATTAGAGGGGTTAAAGTGGAATCGGACCTAAACTACAAGACCAAAAAGTCCAACTTACTAATATGTTAAGATGTCAACAAAGCCCAATAAAAAACATAGTTACCGCAGGAAGTTCTCTTCTTCCACTTGGTTTTGCATCACCACCTGAAGGTTGTGATGCAATAGTACTAACATCACGGCCAGATCTTGAGGCATCTTGTTGTGCTTGTGGTGCAGAGATACTTGGCTGACCTTGTGCATGTGGGGTGTGTGTTAAATTCCATGGCTGCCAAAATTGCCCACAATAAACAAGGAGAAAAAAATCAAAAAATTGTAATGAAATACAAAAACAAAATCAAAAATACCACCACAAGGTCAACCTGATTGCTTGAAGCTTCATCAACTGACGGTATATATTCTTGAGCAGCAGGCTGAATACCATTAGCAGAGTATAAAGAAGGTTGCTGATGCTGCATGGTAGGCCATTGCCCGGAAGTAGGATCTTTAACAAGGAAACTACCACCATTGACTGGGAATACTTGAGCCAATCCTGGCGCAGGAACCGGAGCACCAACAGGGGAAAATGTCGACACACTGCTTGATGGTGCAATTGTGGGAGCACCCATATTACCTGTAGCTCCAGAAACATAACTAGGGCCAGGTGCTGAAACCGACAATTGTGATAGTAGAGATTCCAATGAATTCACATTCGCAGGAGCTTGAGGTGCTTTCACTTCTGAAGAAACATCAAAAGAGGCCCAATTGTTGTCATTGGTTGAATTTGCTGGCTGTGGGTAGGATTGAGCTACAGTAGTTTGTTGCGGTTGAGGAACTGCAGCAGCAGGAGCAGGTTCAGGATCAGCATCAAAATCAATTAAACTTCCAGAAGTCTCCAGTTTCACTTCCACCGGATTCCCGTTGGTGGATCCCAAGCTGCTGGACGACGCAGTTCTCTGCAATTAAAAACAGTACAAGAGCAAGTTTAGTATATTATTATGGGAAAGTTAAAATAAAATGAAAATGAAAATCCCAAACAAATAACAGCATGCACTCATCTTCCATATAACAGAACTAATACATATATCATTAAGGAAAAGTGTGTGAAACATTGAATAGGTAAGTTGCGATGATAAGCTTTGTCAAGAAAAGTAAAACAAAAATACAAAAAAGAAAAAGAAAAAACAAGACATGAATGTAAAAACTTGAACTGGAATAATGGAGGTATTGAGAGAGAGAGAGAGAGAGAGAGAGAGAGAGAGAGCATATATATGATATACTTGTCTATGGTAATAATGAGCAGTAATCGAACTCAAAGTAACAAAACACAACACAAACCAGAAATGTATGAATTTGTTAGTTCACGCCAATTTAATCATAAAGCTGAACTCATTAGTTAGACAACAAAATGCTCCTGCTAACTGTTGATCACTATAGTTCGGAAAACACAGATGATCAAATTGAAGGCATGCAGGGGATCACAATATATGCTTCCACGTAACGGGTGAAGCATTGTCTTGGCCTCTCATGTTAATGAAAATGGTGTAATACAGGCATACGCATCACTAAACCATCAAGTGTTCAATTAGAAAATGAATACTTTGGGAAGACTCACCTGTGTCTGCACAGAGCTATCAGCAGCCCTGGCACTGTTAGCTTTTGGAGGTATTGTGTTATCTCCCAAAATATCTCTAACAGGCCGTACAATAGGGGGGCTGGACGAATCTAGATCTCTTGGTCGTTCAGGTGATTCAGCATCCAGCTTAGAATCTCCATCGGATATTCTGCGATCATCATTTCGCCTCCCATTTCCAAATCTATCTTCTCGACGCCAATCATTCACAATTTCAGGGCGACCAGGACTTTTCTTATAATCATTATACTGCCGGGCTTCTAGATCATATCCGGGACTTCTTTGCCCATCATAACTTCTTCCAGCAGGACTAGACCTTTCACTGTAACGACGTTCATATGTATCATCATATGGTGGGCTTCGAGAGCCTCCCTGATATGAATCCAGTCTTCTGTTTTCATAAGAGTCTTCCTTCTCACCCTGTATGACATGCAATTTACAACTTAAACCCAGAGACATTTGAAACACTTTCATCATGGTATAAGTATACACTAAACCAGTGTGTTGATTTTAGGTCTATATGGTAGCACCTTGTATTCAAAATAATGTATCTTGGGATAAAGGATAGCTCACCATTTTCGCCCTTGGAGGCTTGTCCAAGTTTCTCTCACCAGTATATCTTCTATCCACATACACATGCTTAATAAAGTCTCGAAGTCTCTCAACATTACTGGAAGCAAACATTTGAATCAGAACCGTAGTCATTACTATCAAAGTAAAACAGAATAAAATGAGTATTAACCTGCTGTCAGGAAAGGAATTACGTTGCGGGTCCAATTCTTTATGATAAATTCCCTTTGCACGCTGTAATTGGGAAGCAGAGACGAGCCCGAGATAAATTGAGAAGATTAGCAGCAGACAAAAAGAAAATCACACATATTGCTAAGAACTCAGAAGAAACACATACGAATACCTGATTTCCCCCTTCTTGAAGGGCATTAACTTCTTGTGAAGTAAATTTGGCCATTGATACTGATTTTACTCGGTGCGTGAACTCCCGACTGGAAACATTTTCATGTAATTAATACAATGCAAGCAAACCAACAAGTAGTGTGCATGAAACACTAAAAGTGAATATTTGAAAAATAATTAAATAAATACCCCTGCATCGCCCTCCCCCTCTTCTGTTTCTACACATAGAAAGAAAAGGAATAACTCTTAACAAATAATGCAGCACAGCACATCATGACTTACTGTATTCCACTGCAGTTTGTGCAAACAAATGTCCAGAAATTCGTGCAAACATATTGTGGCCCCTGCTTGGTAGAAAATAACATTAAAAATGAACCTGAGCACAAAACATAAGTATACGCACATGCACTCTTTGAACTCAAAACCCTAATATTAGTATCATCATGACCAATGTATTGCTCCCACTCTGCAATGCAAGAACACCTTTACAAAAATGGTTAACAAGAAGCAACAAAACTTTGAGAAATAAATATGCACTACAGTTCTTAATTTGTTTCTAAAGTTTCCGCGCTTCATATATATGGTCACTTTATCTGATCTGCATTCTTGTACAAGAACACAAGATACATTGTTGTGGTAGATCCATTTCTAGAATCAGCCCTATCAGTGCAGTAAAGAAGTCCTAAATTAGAATTGCATGAAGGCGGATTATGATTCCTCTATCTGGAAAATGCTAATATCACACCTCAAGTTACATATCAATAGCTTGACATGACATACAAACAATATAATCATCAAATGTACAAGTGGCCTATGAAACAATGCACCCAACAATAAATGGACAAGAATGCGAGGAATTGTGTACCAGACTGTTGCAGTTAATGCATCTGCGATTCTCGGGAAGTTTAAGAAGGCTACGAATAATTCGTTCATTTTTCTCGTCCTCCTTCACTCGACTAGCCATTCAGACTTCCTATTCATTATAAGCCATAGTTACTACCAAAAACATGAATTTGAAAAGGACGCAATGATGAATGATAGCTTAGCAACTAGCAACTAACATTTTCTAAGCAACCAAACGGACCACACTAGATACTAACGTACTGCAGCGGCTCTGAAAAATCAGAGTCGCTGACGTGCACTAAAACAAGTAAAACTAATTAGAGTCCATACAGAACCTTGAGAAATAGATAGAACTGACCTCAATTTGCTGCAGATGAAGAAGCTGTTCTACTTCTGCAGATGAAGAAGCTGTTCTATTATGTGACTACGGCATTTACTTACAAGTGAATTATGGGAGTCAACTCCCTTCTAGAAAAATAGTATTGAGGACAAAGAAAGTCTAAAGTCAATGTTAGTTTGAGATGATAGTTGCAACTTGCAAGCTAGATAAGATGACCCCAATGTATTGAATTGAATATTTCTACATGTGATCAGTTTATTTTGAGTTTATTAATTTGTTGTCGGTGTAGAGTTGGCTGTCTAATTTTTTTTTTCTTCAAAGCTCTGGACATGGATTTTGCTCCTCAGTGGGGCTCAACTGCAGACTGGTTTGAATTTTGTAGTTTTTTTGGTCTCCACCAATTCACTGCTCTGGCACTGGGCAGTTAAGCTGCTCACATTGCTGCATATATTTATAATAAAGTTACAAACTTTGATTTGAAAACAAAACTCCGGCACATGGGATTTGTTTATGTGACTTATCGCAAACGAAAAGAGAAAGAAACTTGGAGCTTTTTGTTATTTAGTATGATCAGCATGTACAGTAAGCAAGTAGGCTGAGACTTCTATTTAAAGGCTCATGCTTTAAATTATAATTAAACCTTATATTCTACCTTCCATGCCATGCCATGTGAGCTTTAGATGCTGCTTTACACTATTGGTAATGTATATTTGTTTGTCTCTAAACAATTCCATGGAGAGTACTTGGACCTGTTTTATGTGGTAGAGTCAGATCTGCACTTCCATTTGCCAGGTACATAATCCTCTTATCGCGTAGACAGTTGCTAATTAATGAAACCATTGTCAGAAAAAACTCAAAGTCAGACTCAGAGTCATTGTAATTTGTTCATCCCATTCTTAGCTGGGAGCTGAGTCTTTTTTATATTTTCCTTTATTATGAATTTTCTGATAATATTGAGACATGTGGTGTATTATAACCTTGCATTTCTTTCTTCTCTCCAACTTGTTATATTTTTTTTTCCTGATAGGAAAAGGAATTGATCAATAGAACATATGCCATCTCATGTTTCTCAAGCTACCTTGAATTTGAATGCAAATTAGACACCTTGCATTGCACAATGCACATGTTTGAAAAACCTGTCCACTATACGAGAATAACTTCCAGGTCACGGGGATAGCACTGTTTTGCTATCGCCAACCAATTACGTTCCACCATGTGTGATAAAGATACATGACGAAACATTAGGGAATGAAGATAGCAAAACAATGCTATCCCATTGACATACAAGTTCTTCTCCCACTATACACTATACAACAGTGAGCTCTAGCTATTCTGTTTCTCATTGATGTGGGTGTGTGTTAGTGGGGCAACCTAATAAATGGCACCTCATGTTGCCTTGGCCATACTTCCCAGTGCATCAGAAGATGAAATTTTGCTGATATATTATATATATATATATACACACACACACATATCTTGTCATATCAGTGGTGCAGTGCTCCATCACTACATGACCAAAAGTGCACTACTACAAAACCAGGCTGAGTAGTGCTGCTTCCTTTTAGTCGTCCTGCATAATAGAACATATCCCTTCTCTTTTGGCTGGTTTATACAAATAATTATTCAGATGAACCCACATGCGACCTGCCACCCAATTTTTATTGTTGCATAGCAACAATCATGTGACCCACACGTGCCTAACATGACTTCACTACTAGCTTTTTCAAATTTGGTTCATTCATTGGTCTGTTATAATAAAGAACCATTTCACATGGACCAAACTGTGGAGAATAGAACCATTCATTTTTCATTTTTTTTGAACTTATTCTCTCATATAATTATTAAGAAACATTAGTGAGCTCATGGGCTCCAATAATAGGAGGCCGTCTGTCCCATTTCCATTTTCATATTGAAGGCCAAGACAAAACTGTCAACACATTCAAGTCTTGTGGTGTTTTTTGAATTATACTATCCATCATCACAATAAGCACTCTTGGGTTACTTGAGGGGTTCCCTAATCTATGCGGATTAGGTGGCTAATCACACACTACTTTACTCTACGATTCTTTTATCCTCATACAAAAACTATGTTAATGACCAACATGCACTTATCTAGATGCAATAGTTTTACTGCATTAAACTAAACAAACTGCTTTTGAACAAGGTCGTGTTGTTAGGCGGATGTAAAATTGTTCAATGGTTTGTTCAGATGCTCACCAAATATTACTGCTTTTTCTTTTTTTAATCTCTTCCACCTAAACGTTTCTCATGTTCATTGATCTTGAATTAAACATAGCGAAGATGCTTATCCAAATTGATCCAGCTATATATTAATTTATATATAAGTATATTCTTTGCCTCCAACTTGGACGTTCCTACTAGTCATCATCACATGTCATAAAAGTGTGATGTTGCTACTTCCTCCATTGGTCACTGTGAGCTTTTCTTTTTCCTCCTTCCTTCCCCTCCTTCTTTAGCAGAATTGTCACATGAGAGAGCTCACTTGCAGTATACTGCTTCATCTCACATGAACTTTCTCATTCAGGCTTTTGGAGAATTTATTGTTTAGGAGTTTTTCACATGACAAAATCTTGTTGTGGTTTTGTTTTTGGTCTAGGAAGTGGTTACAGTTAAAAGTAGTGTTTTTCTGGGTTCCTGGATCCCCTTCTAAATTTTTGTGTCCAGCTGAGTTATATAACTATAATTTATTGTGTCTTGTTCCCTTTCCTCCTCCATAGGCTTCATTGGGTTCTGTTTCAACTTTTGCCCTCCCCAATGAAAATTTGACCTCTAGCTCTTCTCTCTCTCTCTCTCTCTCTCTCTCTCCTGCTCCCACCCTATTATAATGTTCACACAACACAAGTTTGCTTTGGATTTACAACACTAGGAGGACTGAGGCAGTTGGTTGGTTAAGAGGAAAGGAAAGATCGGGTGTATAGATTTCTTCTGTTGGGAAATTCTGTTTCGCTTTAGATTTGTTTCTTTGGCTAAGAACTTGTTGTGGTTGAAATGGGGAAGCTTAGTTTGGGCAGGGTGCTAGACAGGTTTTGCCTTTCTTCTACTGGCTCAAGTTCTTGTTTCTGCATGAACTCCATTGAAAACGAAGATGAGTTTGAAAGAAGTCCATTGGTAACCGGTGAGAAAGATGAGTTTCTGAGACTGAAGGATGTTGTTGCTGGAAAACAGACATTGGCGTTTCAATTGAAGCCGAAGGTGACCATCTTTTCTCTCTCTATTCTATATCACTCTTTTTCATTTCTCTTTAGGTAAATATATAAATGGTTTGTAACATGAGGGGGCTTTTGGTGAAATATATATCTTATGCAGATGGTGATGTTAAGGGTCTCCATGCACTGCAATGGCTGTGCCAGAAAAGTTGAGAAACATATCTCAAAGATTGAAGGTACCTTGTTTTTAAACACAAATATACTTTGAAACATTTGATGTTATACATTATCTGCCACCAATACGCGTAGAGTAGCTATAGATTATTTTCTTCCTTGAATATCTGACCGGTCTGCTAATTTCTGTATTTTCTTTGTATGTTATTTTTTCAATTCTTTGTGAAAAAAGAAGAGTGATCATTCTTGTTAAAATGAAACAGGAGTGACATCGTACAAAGTAGACTTGGAAAGCAAGATGGTGGTTGTGATTGGAGATGTTCTTCCTCGCGAAGTGCTCGAGAGTGTCTCGAGGGTTAAAAATGCAGAGATTTGGAACTCCCCATGCTGATGGCCATGAACAATATACATATATATAAATATATATGTGTCCATGGTCATAATGTACACTATATAATATACCGCCTGCATTTCAGGCTCAGGCCTCTCTCTATTCTATATCATATATGCAAGTTCTTGTCAATGGCTTGTCATCTTTGATTGTAAGCTCTCATTGTATATCATCAGTTTCAGAAGGGCTGAAGCCCCCACTTTGACGTTCTACTACTTTGAAGCTTCAAGTCGAAAACAGGGTCCATTTTATTTTAGAAAAACAATAGAAGTTCTCATTTTCATGTTACAACAAAATTAAACAACCTTTTGATTTTCTTGGGCCCCTAGACATCCAATGTAGCCCAAAAGAAATGTTTCTCTTGTAGGCCTTAACGCAAAAGCCAGTCTAGCCCATTCTAATGGATAACAAAACTATTTTGGTTTTTCTCGGAGCCCTGGTTTATTATCTTTGTATTCGAGGTTTTGTGTTTGAATTCTTATCGACACTAAATAGTTTAGTGTCGATGAACTTGCCTCATTTTTATTAATTTGTAATAAAATCTTAGTTGGAACCATTAAGAATCAAGATGTCATATGATATACCCACCTCAATTCCATCGGATGCTATTTTTAAACTTTTAAATTGTAAATAAGCAGACAAAGTTCTTTTTTTCTGAAGAAAGAAAAAGAATTATTATGTGGCTTGAGAAAAGTCGTTTGGCATATAACACTCTGCAGAAAGTCACATAACTATAGTCAAATACAAATTAGTACAGTAATTATAATAATAATATTGAGAACAACATTTCTTATCAAGTGTCAACGAACTTACCAACTAATTAAGAATTTTGATCGCCAGCGCAACGCCGCGCGCTTATCAGAGCGCCATCAAATTAAACCACGCTAAAATCCCAAAACAGATAATCAGAGCCAACCTTCTCAGTTCTTCTCACATTCTCAAATATCTTCAGAATATTCGCCCTCAAAAAAAGGCAAAAAACCACGAAAAAAAGAAAAAAACCGCCATGGCCAATTCTCTCTTCTTCTGCTTCTCTCTCCTCCTCCTCCTACCTTTCTCTACCCAGAACGCCTACCCTAAAACCCAGGACCCGAACCCGAACCGAATTCCGAGCCCGTCGCCGGCCCACACCGAGCTCACCAACTACGGCTTCCCAATTGGGCTTCTACCCTCCGCGGTCAAAAACTACACCCTGGACCGGACCTCCGGCGACTTTATCGTCGACCTCGGCGGCGCGTGCAAGGTGACGCTCCCTCCCGACAACTACTTGGCCACGTACTCGAAGAAGATCACCGGCAAGATCGTGCAGGGCAAAATCGCCGAGATCAATGGGATTAGCGTCCGAGCCTTCTTCCAGTGGTGGTCTATTACTGGGATTAGGTCGAGCGGCGACAACTTGGTGTTCGAGGTCGGCATGGTCACCGCCAAGTACCCCTCTAAGAACTTCGACGAGAGCCCTGCTTGCGAGGGCCGCCACTCCTCTTCTTAGCAGGTTTGCTTTTTTGTTTTGTTTTGTTTAATTTTGTTTTTTCAAAGTTTTATCGGATGGTTATGGCGTTGGAGTGGTAGTTAGGGTTTTCAGTTTGTGCTTCTGTGATTTGTATATGCATGGATTGTGATTGAGGTATTTTTCAGCTGGAATGCTTTTGTTTTGTGGTTGTTAGCTTGAAAGCTATGTTTCAGATTGATGAATTGTTCATGAATTTGAGTTCTTACTTTACTTCCTTTAGACTAAAGGAATCGAATTTATGCTTTTTATTTATTTATGGACCGACTGTGAATATTCTTTTTAGCTTTCATAGTTGCCGAATCAAATCTGAAATTGGATTATTCTAGAAATGTTAGCTTGTTAGTATGCATCTCATTTGTAACAACTTGTTGGCAATGTTAACCAGTTGAATCTTTTAAAAGTGTCCAGCATCTTGCGTAGAAATGACTCAAATTCCCAAATTAAAATAGTCTAACTTGAATCATTGCTCAAGGGTTGCACTTGTTAATAGTTTTTGCTATGAGCCTGAAACCAATTAAATTGTTTGGTCTTAGGAGAGAGTGGAGATGCTTGATAGGTTTTGCAATTAGTGGGGTTTTAGGATTTGAGCACTATATTATATAGTGGTTATTTCTTACTCTCTGAAGCTTTCTGTTGGAATAATTGGGTACTAACTCATTACCGCTCAATCTATTCTATTGTCATTTGGTGATTTTGGAAACTACTGCTGTCATGGGATACCAAATGGTTAATATAAATACCTTGGTCTAAGCTTTATTTATGAACAAGGATGGTTGTTAATTTCATGACCAATTATTTGTGGTTCCTTACTAGGGAAGCAAATTATTTTTAATTGCAAAGACAGTAGCAACAACATAACATACAAGATATATCATGTTCTTGGTGAAAAGTGAACGTCAAGGTCGTTGGTGAGGACAGTTTATTTTCTTTTCTCTGGTTGGTTCACTTTTGGTCAGGACTTATAGAAATGATTTGAAGGATTGGTTACAAATTGTCATAGCTGTGGGCCTAAGATTCTGGTCTGTTGGAGCTGAATGCATCCTGCGAATGTGCATGATGCACTACTTGTTATAGGCTGGGCAACCTTTATTGTGATAGTAGTAGATCTGGAAGTCAGATTTATATGAATGGTGGACATTGGTCTTTGGAATCTTGGTTTGGTCACGTGAAGGTAAATCATTGTTCCTGGTAAAATGCTAATTGCTGGAGATCTTTTGATTGGGACGTATATGAAATATATGCATCAGATTTGTTTGGTTTGCTTTGGCTTAAAGCCATCTTCTTTATACCAATTTGTATACAGATTTGAGATCAAGGAATCCTTTTGATTCTTGTTTTCTAATGATAGAGCAGTTCATCGCCATATATTGGATTAAATCTTTGAAGTAGATTCCCAACTTTGTGAAATGAACTTGTTGACTTCAGAAATGGTGAACCATTGCAATATATATATACCCACTTTAAAATGTTCAATAGTTGTTAACAAATTGATGTCAAATTTTCTTTTGGTCATTATTCCCACTTTGCAGGGGCTCTCTAGTTGTGGTGCCTATCAATTAAATATGTGATCATGTCCAGTTGTCGACTCCAAGACTGATAGGTAAGCAAATCAAAGTAGGTATAAGATATTTGTATGATCCGAATCTGGCCTGCATTGTTTGTTACTCTCCGATGATTAAGATTTGTAAGATGGTTTATAGGTACTTCTTATGTTGACTCCATTTGAAATATTAATTTATTAATATTGACATTCGTATGACTGTCTAATTATTTGTTTCTTGCCACATGGGAAGAGGCATGGTTAGCATTTTAATAAGATTCTTTACCATGTTCAACCATTCAAAACCTGGTTTACACGTCTTTTTCTTACCTTGAAAATGATTAACCAGCGCAAATAACTGCTGTGATTGGACTTGCAATGGGGGAAGATTAGAGGTCATCACTTTTCAAAGTTTGGTGGGTGATATCCATAAATAGCTTCTCCTCCTTTAGGGTTTGTGTGGTTTAACATGCGTAATGCATTCATAGTCTTTCACTAAAGGCAATTGTCCTTGTCTCCGACACACCATAAGTTGCTACTCTGATTGCATGCAGCAGCGGAAGCACATAATTGTTTTTGTTTATGGAATTTATAAGGTGGTTGGAAAATGAGTGTACTGGGCATTTGCAACCTACAAGGATGTATTGTTAACATTTTCTTTCTGAGACGTGGTCAGTGTGACCATTTGAGGTTTTCTAAAGGCCACCAGAGACCAATAGAGATGTGGCTTCTGGGCGATTCTGAAAGGCCATTCAATTGTGGTCCTTGTGCAAATTATGTCTCTTGGTCATGGTAGCTGGCTACCTGGTGTTATTGGTGTTAGATGCTTGCGTGCATGAGACACAAGTGGAGTAAATGTGCAATTGTGCCACGAATGGTTGCTAGGTTAACAATGGGTTGTATTTCAAGCCACATTGCTCATTGCTTTTGTGAGGCATGACATCAGGGTCATATCATGTCCGCATGTCATGTCCACTGTATGGGCATGAGACGCTTTTGATAAATGATCATTGATTAGTGATCAACGATCAGAAATTGCCGACGCACACATGCGCACACATAGGTGGACTGACCCAACCCTAGCAAGATTCATCCCCTTAGTTTAATGTCATCATGCATGCATGTCAAATTGGTCATGCACACCTTGACCCAAATGAGACTGGTTTGAAATTCTTGTAAAATGGTTTTTGTCTTGGCTACCTTTCTTTGACATTTCAATTGCTCCTCTTTTCTTTTGCCGCATTTTTCTTAGAATCTAAATAATGGGTCAAGGTTGGTACTTGGTATGAAAAGTCCACATTTTTGTTGGTCTATTTCTCCCAAACTCCATAACTTGTAAAGATGGTTGCATGCCATGAGAGAGAGAGAGAGAGAGAGAGAGAGTCCATTTTCTTGGCCATTTTTGTACCGAAAACCAGCTCGACCCATGACCCGACATCAAAATAAAGACTTGTCATCTCAAATCACGCACCAATGAAACCACAAGGACGGTTGGGGAAATGCGCAAAGTGCACTTTGCACTCTGTACACTCTACTCTACAACACAAAAAAGCACAAAGTTTATAAACTATAAAGCCTCTCTCTCTGTTGAACCGGTCATTAAAAAAAAAGAAGAAAAGTACCAAAACCATGCTTGACGTGTATCTTTGGCTGACCATTTCTTTCCATAACTTTCAAGATTCTTTGGACACGTGTTAATCCCTGTGATTTTAGTATGAAACCATGACTCTTGACTTAATTAATTTTCATTAATCCCATATGATTTGATTCTGTGTAAAGTCATGGGTCTATTTTGGGATATGATCCCCCCAGTCAACGGCCTCAATCAAATTTGAACTTTTGATCCAACGGTTCATATTTTATCACCGCTCATCAAATAAAAACATCGTCTAAAATGCTGAATGACATGGACTTAAATTACATACTTTTTTCCAGCAAGCTCTGATGACCAAAATAATACAAATTTTTTTTTTGGGGAAAATTAAAGAATTGTGGATAATTCATCCTCACGCGCCTTAAAAGCGCATAAAAACACACCGACCAATCACATCGGTGGGCAGTGCTCATTGTACTTTTTCTGCGCGGCACAACCAACCCCGCCTTCCTACTGAACCCGCGTTCCCCACGCGACTCTTTCGCGCGTGATTTTCCCCTCCAGCGCTCTTCTCCCAAAACGTGAACAACTCGTACAAGCTTCTCTCACAAAACCAACTAACAAAAACGAAGTCTCTCTCGCTTTCTCTCTCTGTCTGATTCTTTGCTCTCTGCGGAAGAAAATTCTTCGGCCTCGGAGCGCCAAAACCCTAGGGTTCGTCTCCATTCTTCGCAGGTCCATCTCTCAATTCGTCGTCGTTTTACTTTTCGTATCTTTCGTTTAAATTTTCTGACTTTAGCCTCTTTCTCAGCGCAGATCCGTTTTTGCTTTCGTTTTCTGCTTTTTCCTCTTCCCTGCTTTTCGTATTCTCAAACTCCATTTCCGTTTACCTTAGAATTTATAATATTTATTTGCTTTTGTCCATTTGAATCCCCTCATACTCGAATTATTCTGTTTTTTATTGTTATGTAAAACGCGTTTGCTTTATTTGCCGTAAATTCACACAATGTGCATGTCAAAGATTGTCAAGGAACACTATATGCTCCTATAAATGTGGTTAACTTGTTACATTAATTATATATATTTAATCTTTTAATATTTTGTATAAAAATTTCAGTTTTTATGAATGAGCCGTATTTTCTAGTTGCATGGGTAATAACTAGCTTGTTTGGAAAGCACATTTAGTTCTGAATTTTTTTTACTTTTGTTGCTTCTACTTTTAGCTACACGGTGTTATTTGGTGTGATTCTGGGTCCATTTCGCTTAATCTATGAACTACATTATGCCAGCTGAAGAACTATTATGCCCCCTTCAATTACTTTGTCTATGTTCTCTCTAACGCACAGGTTTTTCTACCAATTAATTGTTGCAGGGAGGTCTGCTTCAACTTTTGCATAATATGGATTTCGAAGATAAATTTCTTGCTAAAGGTATGATCTTTGTCTTTCGTATGCATATAGTTTGTACGCTTCTATGATGGTTTCTCAATGGATGTTTGGCATAATTGACGGCATAGCATCAATAGAAAATAGGAAAGGAGAACTTTCTCACTAGGACGCTGTCCAAGGTAGCCTAATGATATGTTGGATTCTTCTCAATGTTCATAAATGAGAAACGGTGGTATCAAACACGCCCTCACTACTTGAAGTTTGACTTTTTATTGCCCGACACTTGGATTGTTTTCGAGTTCTTTTTCTTTCCTCTTTCTTTTCATATGCAAAATCTTATGGTTGTTTAAATGCATGTTGGATTTCGTCTTTAAATATTGAACCTTTTCTATCTAAAATTAAATTTTTTTGCTGATGTACATCTGACACCCTATAAAACCTACCTTCTAGTCTATGTTTACTTGGATAAGAGTCCCTCAGGAAGGGGAGATTCAGGTCAGAATTGTTGGACAGATGCATAGAGCTACTGTTGTGAAGTGGGACTAGATGTTCAATTCTTTGAAGATGTGAGATGATTTTTAGCTTAAATTGTTGTAGATGGAGGATTGTGATGTAGTATTCTAGATCTTGTTGGAGATATAAACAGAAATAAGCATGAACCAACTTAGATAGTTGGAAAGTAGAGAATCTTGTTACCAAAAAAAGGATTTAGTTTATTCGTAAATCAAATGTTTTATGCGTTGAAGTGTAGAGAAGGATAAAATGGAATTTGATTGGGTTTTGCATACCTTGTTAACAGATACCTCATCACTGTATCTGGAGGATTCTTTTCTATCACTTGTTTTAAATGCTATGTTTCTGACAACCAATTATATTTTTTCCTACCCCTTTCTTATTATTGTGTTGTAGATGCGGTACAATGTTGCTTTGACATTTGCTCCTACCCTTAATTTTTTTTTTGTCATTTTCTTTTCTTTTTCCAGTTTCTGGTATACAAAGCCTCTCTTCCAGTGTGCAAAGCACTCCCGAGAAGAATGGGCATTCAGATGATGCTTCAAGAAGTCCAGAGCTCCTTCAAGAGTTTCTGAAATCAGGTCCCAAGAAGGAACTTCTTCGAACATGCTTTGATAAGGACAAGAAAAACTTGAATTCATCAAAACATAAAATGTCCGAACTTTTGAAGATTTCTAACAAGACTAATAAGAAGCAGGAATCAAAGAAAGCTTCGTCTAGTCCGAATAATCATCTTCCCAAAAAGCAAGCCAGAAAGGGGGAAAATCCCATGAGACTCTCACCAGCTTCTGAGCAGTCTCCAGACTTTGGATCTTCAAACTCATGGATCTGTAAAAACTCTGCTTGTAGAGCTGTTTTACCCATAGACAACACATTTTGCAAGAGGTGCTCATGCTGTATCTGTCATTTGTTTGATGACAACAAGGACCCTAGTCTTTGGTTAGTGTGCACATCTGAATCTGGTGAGGGAGATTCCTGTGGGTTATCTTGTCACATTGAGTGTGCCCTTCAACGTGAAAAGGTGGGAGTTGTTGATCTTGGGCAATTGATGCAGCTAGATGGTAGTTATTGTTGCGCTTCTTGTGGTAAAGTCTCTGGGATACTGGGGTAAGTAATTCTCTTGCATATTGTGAGTTTAGGTTGAAATGGTAGTACTCAATTTGACTGGCTATCCTTTGTCCTCTCTCCCCAGCCCTACAAATTGGTTTCTGCAACTATGGAAGTAGGTTTGAAGCATTGAATTGTGCTTTTTTTTCAGGCACATCATAAGTCACTTAAATGTTTTGAGTTTGGGAGCTCGAAAAAATAAACCCATTTTTTCCCCCTTTAGTAATCTTTTTTCAGGTTATGTTCTTTATGTTTGCTATTCTTTATGTGTGCTTTTCATTATGTTTGCTATTCGGTATAAATTCTCTTTGTCGAGAACTTTGGGCTATAGTCCTTTTGAAAAAAAATAAAATAAAATATATTCGCTTCTGTAAAGAGATGCCTTTGCATAAACATTGATTTTGTTATACATGTCCAACTTCTTAAATGTTGTATTGCCTGGGAAATGATTTTACTGAGATAATACGGGCTCTTTTCTTTTCTAGGAAAAAAAAGATAAAT